CTGTGTCCCCCGGACAGAGACCCCATTCCTGTCCTTGACCCACACAGCCCACCATTCATTTTTAATTAGGGGTGGAGGTGGAGGGAGGGTGGAGTACACTAGCTGCTGGCCAGCTCCTCCTAAACAGGAAGACCTTTTGGGTCTGATAACCTTGGCCTCACTATTTCCTCCCCCAACAGCCAATAACAGATAAACAACAACAGTGAATAGCCCGTATTTCACAGCCAGAATAGAGCGCCGATTTATTTTTGAGTTCTGGTTTGCGTGTTTATTTCTCATCTAACAATACAGTTAACGTATACCAGTGAACACAACATACAAGCACACACATGCATGCCTTATAAAAGACACTGACTTCATTCAAGCGAGGCATGTTTGGACATGTTCGGATGTGGGAGCTCAGTGTGTTTGCACAGCAAATTTATTTTTTCTCTTCATAACTGAAGGAGGTAATATCAAGGGCTGCACTGAAGGCAGAGAGCTCGATCTCAGCAGACAGCACAGGAGGAGCATTGATTTATTTATACTTTGTCGTATTTAATTCACTCGCATGCATATTGAATGGTTTATGAAAGCATCTCCGCGGTATGGACCCTTGACGTGAGAATATAAAATAAAGAATCACCTATCAATTTCCTTTTTTAGATTAAAATGGCCAGAACTTCTTAATAAGCCTCCATTCAAAATTGATTCAAGACTGCCAGCCATTGTTTTTACACTTTGAAGCATTCAGCCTTTAATTGCCAATTATGCAATCCGTCTTTCATTCATTCATTCAGCAGGCTTTCACTCGGTTTGCTTTAAAAAAATGATCTTTAGAAATACACGCTTGATAGATTAAATGGCTGAAGTAGTTTGGAGGCTTAAGTTCAAAAAGAAGATTTAACTAAACTCAACAAGACTGGGTAATTGATGCCAGTGTTTCTGAGCAGTACAGAAATGTCCTGCAGGCCCAATTTCACCCCAGTTCTCTTATTTAATTAGATTAGACGGACGTTTTTTCTCATCTCCTTTGTATTCTGGGTAAGACCTCAAGGTGCTCGTGTAGGTCCTGTCAGGTCTGCATCCTCTGTGTCTTTGTCCTAATGAGGTCCTGAGCTGATTCACACATTGCAAAAGTGACACATCTCGAGAATTCAACATCCGTGTTTAGACTAGAAACCGCTGCGGGACCCTATTTTCAAGTCACTTTTCTCATTTCCCGAGCAGACGGCAGAATGAAGGTTCAAAAGGCTGACATATTTGGGCCACAAAGTTCAGCCTTGAAATGGCAGCGGTAGAGTGCCTGGAGTTAGTTGGTTCGGTAAAGGTGGAATAATAAGGTTTAGTCTACGACTCTTCTTCTGTTGGTTCCGCAGGGCACAATATGAATTATTAATGAAGCCTTAAAATAGAAATGTCAGTAAACAACTCAGTGTGTTTTAAATAACCAAGGGGATACGCCTGCATTTTGGAGCATAATGGGAATGCTGCATGTGAGTGTAAAATTAAGGTGTTTTTGGTTAGCGTGTGCAAACAGGTGAGGACCTTTTAGACTGCAGATCATATTTCAAAAAACAGATTTAATGCATTTAAGAGGTCCAGATTTCACCAGCAGCTCAGAGTGTGGTAATCCCTCATCTGATCCCTGCATAAACTTCACTGAAGCCCCATCTCTGCCTCTGAAGATGTAACGACAATACATAATTCCCCACGTCATCTTGTCTTCAGACTTGTTGACCTTTGATGTGGAGGAAAGTAAACCGTAATTATGTGCTTTCTACCAGCCTCTCCCAGGACGCAGCCAATTACAGCTACTGAAGTCAGCCATATGTGGAAGGCACAAAGACAAGAGACAACCCGATTGTGCTAATTACATGTACCTTCGCTGCCTAATTTAGCGATGCAACGGGAAGCTCAGAGGCTTTTGTTCCCAGCATGTGCATTGATAGGCTTATTATCTGATCTCAGAGGCTGTTAACGCCCCCGTGTACCTACTCAGCCATATGTTAGTGATGAGCAGAGCGTTTCAACCCAGAGGTTTAATGTTAATGGTGCAGGGTATTGGATAAGTGTCAACGTACAGACCATGCCAGTATCGATTGACAGAACATTAATTGACACCAATTCTGATGAGCAATTAAGTAATTTATCATTCTTTAGTACGAGCTTTTCTGTGTTGTATAATTCTTTTGGTTTTAAACCATTCTCTTTCATAAATAAAATAATAATCAATGAAATACTCAGCATAATAGTCTAATGATTTATAAAATAATCATATAATTAATACTTATAGTATTAATATAATACATATAAGTGTCACTGTTCTAAAACGTTTTGCGAAGTCAAATGTCATTTTAAATCAATTTTAGAGGGCCAAGAGTCAACAGCCTTGCTAGCTGCTCTGTGAGGTTGTACTTTGGCACAGCAGCACTTTGAGCTAAATGCTAACATTAGCATTGGTAAAATACTCACAATGACAATGTTTACATTCTGGCATGATATTAACTATCTCCAACTATCTTTGCGTTCCAATACCCATACAACCATACTATTTACTGTGCCAGAAAAATATTTAGTATGTCCCAATACATAGTATGTCAAATACAGTATGCCAAAATACCAGGATTTCATGTCGGATTTTGCAGTATGCAAGCCAGCATGGGTCAAAGTTCAAGGTGCAATGTTATGATGAAGCAGCATCTACCAATTGAATGCATACTGCATGCAACAGTACGTAATTTGTAAGGGCAGCGGCAGTATGTACTAAAAGGTTTTTTTTAAAGTATGCGATTTGTAACTCAGTGTACGTCTATCTTAGTTTAGCGTGTAAGCATGCTAACATTTGCTAATTAGTACTTCACACAAGTAAAGCTGATGTGCATGTCATTAGTTTTGCAGGTTTGTTCACAAACTAACATTGTTGGACAAAATAAACTTTCAACCTGAATGTTTCGCTTGATTACTAAAGTGGTAATCATTCATTCTCAAGGGGACAAATGTTCTTTCACCAAAAAACAGAAAAGTCAACTTCACAGGTGGACCAGAGCGGGGGACAGGCCGACTAACTGACAAACTGACAATGCCATCCCCCAAGAAAAGTCAACATTTCACCATAGAATTCAATATATTTCAAACATATTAGGAGGCTTACAACAATATTGCACATTTTCTCATGGCTAGATTTGAGTTTTTTAAATCTAAATGAAACCCAAGAATTTGTATTTATCATTTACAGATGTCTGTTTTCCCAGAAAAGCATCATTCTGCAACAGTTCCTTCTCTCACAGTGCTTATAAGTTGCTTTGTTTATGATGTCGCACTGCCAGTTGTCCTACGCAGCGACTTTTCCCACCCTGGGGGTCGACTGCTCCCTCAAGATTAAGTATCACAGCCTGGTGATGTTACACCCAACCCTCATGTATTCTTATGGTGTCATTCATAATTAAATCCATCAACAGTTTTCTCTTCGACATCTAAACATATGGCGAGGGATCCCTCCCCATCACACACACAACCCCCCTTCTCATCCCTACTCATCCGGCTGACTCTCACCGTTCCTCACAGTCTCCCCTTCCCCTCTCACTCCTCTCATTGTCAGTCTGTTTCCGCCTGAGTGCCTCCCCCCCCCCACCGTTTGGGGATTACAGTCTAGACGGGCAATGCTGATTGGCTGCCATGCCCAGCAGTGTCCCCCGATTGGAGAGAGATACATATAGGGGCCGTCAGACAGATCCGTTTGAAAGGTGAGAGACAGTGGCAGGCTTGTAGAGGTGCAGACTAACAACAGAGAGACAGACAGGGATATCTATACCTCCTGCTTTGTGACAGTTTATAGAAGGTAAGGTGTGGGTTTCAATTCTATAGATTTATAATATTTTTTCTCGTAGAATGACTCCTGCAAATTCGTGTTTTTTGATTTTTAAGTAGTAATATAAAATAACTTTTCGTTCTTATGATATAGGACTGTTTTATGTGTAATAATTTGCATCTATGTTGTTGCCGTTTAACCGACAGATCCTGACAAACGAGTTGGTTTATAGGGAAAAGAAGTGTTGATCACAGTTGTCTACAGTAGGTGTTTGGAACCAACCTTTTCCCACAGACTCTGGCACGTTTTTCTAAATTCCTTGCATGCTTCCTCTCATCTTCCCACAGACGTTTTATTTATTTAAAGAAAGGAGGCCTCTCGGCAGATTTACTCTTCCATCAGTTGCTTCGTTTGCCAATGCGAGCATGTTCTTAGAAGAAGATAAACCTGTTGTTAGATCAAGAGAACGATTCAAAGGTCTGGGTCAAATGATTCAAGACTACAAGTAAAGACACAGGTCAGGATGCTGCCTCTGGGCATTCTATCTGCCTTCAGGAGAAGACGGTTAGCCCAGGATCACATGACACAGGCTCTTAAACAGATGAGAGCAGAAAGAGAGAGGAGGAGGATAAAAGCAGAGTGTATTACTGCTGCACAGAAGGAAGTAAGAGTGAAGACAAAGAGCCCAGAGCAAGGAGCAAATATGGATTAAAGTCAGTGGATGGGAAATGGAGAGTATACGATTGAGGGAAAAATGAAAAGCTAGTCTGTTTTACAGCTATCATGGGTTGGATACTGTCTCGTGGTAAGGCCATATGGGACCATGGCCTGTCGTCCAAAACTAGGTCACATGACCCATAATTAAACAAGGTGCACAGCCTGAAACACACAAGAGAAGAGTCTAACTGACACAGAGACAAATAGCAGGGCTGTAATTGTGATTTTCATTCATGAAGACATGAATTTAATGCTTTTGATACTGCCAGTTGATGGTATGTAATTCGATTTGTGCAGCTGCGGAGATAAATGATGAACAAGAGGGGGGACAGTGAAGAAATCTGTCTTTGATGGATGATATGTGTCCTGAAGGAGGCTAAGGAGTTAAAGGAATGAATAGACGACCTCTACAAGGTCTTTAGCTGTTAAACCGAAGTGGACATTTTACATTTTTTGTCTCTCATCATCTCTATATCTCTTTGTCTCCCTGCAGCTGTGTATGAAAGAAGCCGGAGATGGCCTCCACGCTCAGATGAATTCAATGATGGGAGCCCTCCAGGAACTCAAGCTCCTTCAGGTTCAGACAGCGCTAGAAAACCTCGACATTTCAGGTCGGCCCATTAACCGAGGACTCCCACAACCATCTCCTCTTGAAGCATCGGCTACAGCGGCTTCCACCTCATTCAAGGATCACGGGTCCTGCTTTAGCCAGACCATGCCCGATGAGCCCAGCCCGAGCCCAACGCAGAGTCCAAGGCCATCTCTGGAGAGCAGAAACGCCTTCAGCCGAGATGACAGGACCTTGTCTCGAAACAGAAGCAGCTTGGGAACCTCGTCTTCTTCAGCATCCAGCCTTGAGAGTGAGAGCAAGGGTAGTGGAAGAAGCGCACGAAGCGAGAATGACCTTGAGTCTATACCCAAGAGGTGGTCAGGGTACTCCGCTCCGCAGGTGGATTTCTACGGACCAATGGTGGGAAACCTTCCACCGGAAACCTACGCTCAGCCACAGGCTCCCCGTCGTGCTCAGGCAGTGGACCTGTCTGGGATCCTGTACAGCCTCTCCAGAGAAGGCCCCTCATTGGACAGTGACTACTCCCAGGACAGCACAGATGACGCCAGCGACTGGACTTCTTCGCTCATGAGTCGCAGCCGCAACCGTCAGCCCTTAGTGCTGGGCGACAACGTCTTTGCCGACCTCGTGGGCAACTGGCTGGATCTGCCAGAGGTGGAGAGGGAGGAGGGGGAAGAAGAGGAGATGAGGAAGAGAAGAGAGGAGAGGATAGCGGACGGAGGGGCGGACAGACCGGACACCCCAGCTCACCCTCTCCGCCTCAGCCGCTCGCAGGAAATCTGCAAGAAGTTCTCGTTAACCACAAACATCTTCAAGAAGTTCCTGCGCAGTGTCCGACCCGACAGGGACAAGCTGCTCAAGGAGAGGCCCGGCTGGATGGCTCCGGAGCTGCCAGAGGGAGACCTCTTCAAAAGGCCAAAGAAAGTGGCGCCCAAAAGTTCAAAAGGCAGCTTCTACCTGCCCTTCTGGGCAAACGGACAGCAGGGCAAAGGCAGGCCGTGTTCTCATCTAGATGAAGCAGAGAGGAACCACCAACACCACTTCCCTCAGGTCCACCAGCAGCCATTTGCTGGGATGTATTTAGACAGGAGACAGCCAGAGACTGGTCTGGAGAAAATGCAGCCCTTGTTTGACTACAACACAGCTGTGTGGGTTTGACAGTGAGTCTCGGGCCAACAGACTGCCAGTGATGCCAAACTGAGCAAGTGACAGGTGCTGGTGGGATTTGGGCTTTGCTGGAAGGGGATTGAATGGATGAATGAATGAAAGAGAGGCTTGGATACAGTTATCTTCCAAAAATGAACCAATGAACTTTACACCCACAACGAGATTATCAGGGCAACATTTTGTCTGACAATCCTAAAAACCCAAACCTTGGTTGTTGTGTGCATCTGGGTGGCTGAGTGTGTGCTGGAGTGTCTGAAACAGAGTTAGATCGAGACATTTTTTGAAGACTTATGCTGCAAGTTTGTATTATTCATCTTATATGTGTGTGTGTGTGCGTGTGTGTGTGTGTGTGTGTGTGTGTGTGTGTGTGTGTGTGTGACTGGGGTCTCTGGATGTCCTACAAGACGGTACTTTAAAACGGACATCTTTCTCAGAATGTCTCCATCATTACAGGTCTTTATAAAATAATCCACTGGCTTTTTCACTGCTATGCTGCAGGACTCTATATCTCACTTCTTTGCATCTATGAATAGAAACACCAACTGGTAGATTGCATGGTTACCATTTTTATAAGCGATGCCTCAAACAGCTGTTACTGAACGCACTGCCACTAAACACTCTCACGCTCACTTTTGTTTCCAACAGGCCTTGGCGCCTTGGAAACTCAGGTTTAACTGAACCCGTCTCATTCACCTTGCTCAGGGAATGAATGTTACACAAGAGTTAACTATGAGACACTTCCGCATTTAAATGGGCTTCAAACACAGTAGAGAAGTCTTGCCTCATCTCTTCTTGCCTGGAAAGACGTAACAGCATTACAGTGCATGTCTAGTTCAAAGATTGCACATAGTAGTGATCAGCAATGTTTGGCTGGTAGTTATGTTAGAAATGCTTGTTTTTCTTCTCTGCCATGCAGACATGGCACATGTTGGGTCAACTGTCAGTCCGCAGAGAGACAACGGGGTAAAGATGGCAGAGCCAACCATGAGTAATGGCTGACTGACTGCCATCTGGTACCGGTCGTTATGTAAAGCTTGTTCGCCACAGCCTTCAAAGGAGATCCAAAACTGGCTTGTTTAATCCCAAAGCTTTGAGCATGAACTGAATTATTACGATGATGTTACATATATATATATATACATATACATATATATGTATATATATATATACTATATGAATACATCACAGAGCTGTAACAGTGATGAGACAGTTGAAAGTGGAGGTAAAGACCTGTAATCTCTATCAGACAGGATCAATGTACAGAACATTGTACATATTTATCATCATCCAAACATCAGCAATAAGGAACATTTACTGCTAAATCAAATCGCATGGTTTTCATAATTCTGCACAAATAAAACAGTCGCACAAACATTACAACAAAAAACAACACCACGCATGTATTTTAACAACAAACTGATGAGTTAATCTTACAATATTTATTCTCTTGTATCATAAACAGTTTCAGTGTTTTGTTTCTTTTTACTTCAAGCAGCATCATAACAAGGAAAAACAAACTACAGCTTCCTTCACAAATTGACATAAATATCAGGATTCCCTCAGGATAATAGATGACACTGCCCGCTCAAACTCAAAATCCTTTGTTTCTATAGAGGACCACTGTTATGCAAGGACAATCTGATACTCTAACTTCTTACTATTGTAAAAAAAAAAAACAGTTCATTTCACTCTTAAATGGGATCCCAGACCAATCAATTTAGCCAGCAGGGATTAGGCCTTAGGTCTTTTGAGTGTCTTGGCGAGTCGATCCATATGGTGTTGTCTCAGTATTCAGGTCAATACATACTGTACATTGAGACGGTCCAACACACACACAAAGACATTTCTGCTGAGAAAATTGTGCTAAGATGAGGCACAGTCTGAGATGTCTCATCATACAGTATGTGTATGTAAATGTTACATTTATTTCTTCCTATTTACAGTCGTCTACGTGTCATTTTCAGCACTGTTGTTGATATTTTTCATCAGGGTTCTGCGAACCTTCAGTAGTGATTCGGTGTCATGTGCACTGTAAAACCGTCAGTGACTCTTTGTAAATTAAATCTGTTTTCAGAAAGAAACGTTACTCTGTGTCTTGACTTGTGTATCAAATGGTGACTCTGTTATTGCTGTTAGTTGTGTTCGTGCAGAGCTGATACTTTCCAGCAAAGCATGAGACAAACAGCAAGGTTGAATCTTTTTATTTAGATTTCTAGACATAATGTGAAATCAAAAATAGTAAAATTGATTTTAAAAAGAAAAAATAAATGAATAAGTAAAAATATCAGACTCTAGTCACCAGCTCTTGCTTTCAGCCGTAGCTCTCAGTCTTGATTTTTTTTTCTACAGTAAAGTGCGGCTGCATGACTAACAGGTTCACTGAGGCCAGAGCCAGCAAGTCACTCACTGCCTGTGCCTCAACGGTGCTCTAAATTGATTCTAAATCTGTACAAGAACTCCATCAGGGTCTTCAATAAATAAACAAGAGCAACATGAACTCTGCAGCCTTGCAGTTTATCACCGGCTCTTCGTGACACTCAATCCCTCGGATGTTTTTTATGAGATACACATCAAACCACATCAATCAGTTCATCTTTCTGTCCCCCAGCACTTCGTCCAAGAAAAGCAAGCAATACCTACTGCAGAGTAAAACATATCTGCTCTACAATGTAGAATTAACTCCATAGCATGATATTCTGTGACTCTCTTAGAGCTGAAGCAATTAATCCATTAATTGACTAGTCAATGAATAGAAAACTCAACAACTATGTTTATAATAACTTAATCGTTTAAGTATTTTTATATATTCTGCTAATCTGCTTTATTTAATTGTAATCAAAATATCTCTCTTGACTCACGACTAGTTTGCATACTACTTTATTTTATTGTATGGTTGTTAATTGGACAGAACAGGCTTTTCTTTCTGTGTCAAGTGTCTGAGACAAACTCAAAAAACGCAAATAAATGAATATTGAGGCCAAAAACAAAGATGCGCTCAAAACAATGCTTTCCCTGTTACACTTTGCAGGGTTTGTAGAAACTGGTGTTACTGTAACATCACTGTTTTTAACTGAGACTCATGAATTAATTAATCAATTAGTCAAGTGACTAGTTCCAACTAAACAACCAAATAGAGGATATTTTCATTACAGACTGTATAATTCATCAATTACTCAAAACAACAATAACCATGTTGATTTGTAGTGGAGGTAATAGCAGCCCAAATGCGAGAGTGAAAAGCCAGAACTATAACGTCATATTAGGAAACTTACATTACGTGTAAGTGTAACATTTGCTCTTCATCTGCTGCCAAATGTGTTCAGATCACTATTCTCCCAGCTTTAACACCATCTCACAGGAACACTTTATAACTTTACATAACACTCCACGATCAGGTCAGTGAGCATTCAAGATTAAAAAAAGAGCTAAGAATAATCTGTGTGTGGAGGGGTGGGGGGGTAATAACAGCTGCAACTGTAGTCCTTTCTCTTCTGGCTCAGTTTCCCCCGGGATCCCAGCAGTGGACGCTGACTGCTGTCTGACCACCACCACCTCCTCCCCCTCCTCCCTCCTCCTCCTCCTCCTACTCTCTGGTCCCAGCTAGTCAGCTGTCGCTCTCTCGCAGCCTCACAACACTCCCACCCCAAATCTGGGGCACGCAATGCTTGAGTGCAGCACAGTTACAAGTCACTGTGCAGAGCCCAGATTCAAACGAGGACTGAACACAAAGACCTGGTCATGTTAACGATTCAGCAGTCAACTGTGACTTATTGCCTGAACAAATTGATGGAACGTGTGATGATCATATAAAAAGGGGATCATCTTTAGTTGGGGGCGGTGAATACGGAATGCAGTGTATGCATTTATGTCGGTGCATGTATGCTGTTGTGTCCCCTTTGGATCCCACTGTAGGCTAATTTCCTGCTAAGCGCTCATCTTTCAATAAGCCGTCAGCTGTGTAGCCACACAGCTCTATAGCTTGGCCCTCAGGAATGCACTCACGTTTCACTTTTTATAATCGTCAGCAACTAAAAGTCCAGAATCGTCCCCCAGCGCGGCTTTCTGCAAGGAGTTCCCACAGGAAACATGAGACCTCTTCACACACACACACATTCACACTCACACATGCTAAAGCCAGCAAAGGTATAGGTCATTTGTAGTAGCACGTAAACACCCTCACTTTTGGAAAAGAGAGACTATGTTTTAAAGCCACAAAGCAGAGACAGATTTGGCAGAGAGATAAATGCAAGAGTTAAATCCAGGGCGAATTATTTGGGATTTAACATCTGGCCTCTTTGCGGTAAAATGTGCATCGTACAAGATAAATCTCACACTCTCTTGTTCGACTAATGCATGCAAAGTGGAACTTCACAGACATGAAACCATGTTGCATTAAACATCATTAACCCGGGCTGGTAATGAGGTGAAAGGGGGACGGCTTTACACCAGAAATGCATTAATGACGCCTCAAAGAAGGTTCATCGCATGAACATATGCTCCTCTTTGCATGTGCAGTTTAACATGTTCAATGTGTACACCGGTAAAATAAATGCGGAAGAATGTAAGATATGAGGGAGTATATGAACAAGATGTAAAGAGCTGTGAAGCTATGACTGATGTATTTAGGTGCTCCGACAGGTGAACCTAATACACAGGAATGTTTCCACGCTTTGATCTCCTTCCTGTCTGCCAGTCTTCTGTGAATCTGAGGAATTCAATTCAAATGTATTTGTTCAAATGCAGTCTGACGTTGATCTAACTCTACCACAGACTGGCAGAAGTGCTGTTGTTTCAGGGCTGTCGGCTGTCTGACTCCTGCTGTGTCCCGACCGTGTAATCTTCTTGGGGGGTGAAGTCACAAACGTTGATGTTTGCAGTTGGGGTTCATTCCAGAGCTGAAACAGTTGCAAAATGAATTGTTTAGTGGATAAACAGTAAAATAATTGGTAAAATGTTGATGATCTAATCATAATGACATAACGACAACCACTGATTACAGCTTGTGAAATGTGAGGATTTCTTGCTTTTCTCTGTTTCATTGTTTGTTCCGACAAAACAGGCAATCCAAAGACATCACTTTATATGGGAAATTTTGACATGCACTTTTTACACTTTCTATTTTGAACTATTACTAAATTGTATTAATCAAAAAAAAATGACTGAGAGAATAATCAAAATTAAAACAATGAGTAGTTTCAGCCGTAATGTAATGCTGGTTAAAAGTGAAGTAGTGTCCCCATTAAAGCTAATTTCAGGTGGTAGGTTAATAGTAAAAATACAGAGTCAGCTTCTACAGTCTAATTTGTTCCACTTTAATAATCACCAGAAAGACCCGGACAACTCCAACATGAGCCGTTATACATTACAGCCCGGGCTGCCCCCTTTCAGTCGACTAGTCTGTCATTTTTTTCCTGAGTCGACTACGATGTCTTTGTCGATTTTTATGCTTTTTTTCATGCTGAATGACTTATTTCCAAGAAATTTATGAGCCCACCTCTGTGATTTATTGCGGAGAGTTTTTCAGATCTGTTAATTTAATCAACTAATTAATTAGTTTACGAAAACATATAGTGTAGGTCGACTAAGGATTTCTTTGGCCAAGGACAACCCCAACTACAGTATATCTAGTCTGACTTACCAGATGTAAACTGTAGGTAGAAGCAGGCCATTGGCCGTACATTTCAGCCGCCATTCTCCTCCCCTCCCACTATCTATTTTGCAATGGTACAATCACTGCATCCTGTGCTTAGCGCCACCCAAGACATTTGTGATTGGTTTAAATAAATACAAACAATCCAGAGCATTCAGACCCTTTTTTGAACTAACACTCTGCCAGGCTATACTGTTACAATCATTCATCTGTCCATCCATCCATCCATTATTCGTAACCGCCTATCCTTAGAGGGTCATGCTCCCAGCTGACCACGGCGACAGGTATACCCTGGACAGTCACAGGGCTGCCACACAGAGACAATCATTCACATTCACACCTAGGGCAATTCAGTCGACAGTCAACCTAATCTGCATGTCTTTGGATTGATGGAGGAACCTGGAGAAATCCAACGGTGACATGAGGAGAACGTGCAAACTCCACACAGACGAGAACGTGCAAACTCCACACA